TCCAGCACACTCAGGGAACTTGCTCGGCCCCCAAATTCCCCTGCTGTCCAGCCCCACCCTTGGAGCAGCCTTTATTAGGCTGACACTGGGTTTGATTTGGCTGCAAACAAATGAACCTTAAATGCTACACCGAGGGGAAATCTGCATAGCGGGGAGAAAGAAAAAATACTTCCTTTTGCTTCTGCCTTAAGACATACTCCGTTGTAAGCCCCAAAATAATAAACCTTCAGAATTTGGTGGGGAAAAATAAACTTAGGGAGTTGCCGTTGTTTTGTGAAAGGTGAGCAACTGGCAGCCACCAGGCTGTAAACTTGCCTGAGCATAAGAGCGGTTACACCAACCAATGACAGCCACAGAGGTTTTTTTCTAATTAAATCACGGACACCTACACTGGCAAATTGTTAAGACTAAAAGTGGCACGGTTCTGGCCCATGACAGCAAGTACAGCTCAGGAGTTAGCGCGGACACGGGGCCGTTCACAGCAGGCACGTTGGATTCGGCGACCCCACGGCGAACAAAAGCATGGAGTACTTGAACTTGGCCCATCTTGCGCCATCAGCTCTCCATACTAGAAACCCAATCTGGGCAAGTTTCATTTACAGATTACAGATTTAACCCACATTTTTATTTTTAATCTAACCAATTCTAAAATACCATCATCCTTTGTAGACAGGAGGGATGATTTAATTGGTGCAGAGATTCTTTTACTGCTGCCAGTCTTGCTCAGCTCTCCACACTCCACTACTGTGTACGCTAACCAAGCCTTGTAAATCTATTCCCTATCTCTCCTTTACTGATTAGATTTCCCTTAATGACCTCCTGGTTTTGTAATCTTCGGAAGACTTTTCAGCCTGTGGGCAGACAGACATGCAGCGTGTGATCAGCGTGCGGCACTTTCGTTTTGTATATTTAAGGGTCTTGTAGATCTGTTCAGAATCCAGAGGGAGGGCATATACTCTGGACCAAAGGATACCAATGATGCTGCAATGCTGAACCATGTAAGTACAACTGATATCTTAGAAGACTTAGGTGGTTTTCAGAGTATTAAGACTGCTGGCCTAAAAGAAAATATCAAGCAGCAGTCACAGAGAAAATGGGGGGAAATAGTGGTAAATTCCCTTTAAAGAAATTAAACACATGAAAATAAGCACGTCAAGAGGTGAAACACTTCTGCTGAAGGAGTTTGCGTACTCTGTGTATAAAGCCAAAAATATAATTTCTCATAAAACCCATAGATATTTTCTTCCTTTAAAGTGAATGGGTGTGACAGGCATCCTTGGAATTATATGGGCCTGTAACACCGTTTAATTATTTGACATACTTAGCTTACAGTTGCAACAAGACCTGTATTTGTGAGTCTATATTATGCCTGGCAATTAGCATTGTTCTATTATTTACAGTAACAGCTGTATGATGCATCATGGCTGCAATGCACTGTGCAAAGTCTTAGCAAAGCACTGTCCCACATCCAGACAACTCGCAACTGAAACTAAGAGTAAAAATACAACAAATCAATATAAATAACTAACTAGTGGAAACGAGCAGGCAAAATTGTTAGCAGCAAGAGATGTTGGTATTGTGCTCCTTTGAAAACCTGCTCCTATGGAAATTACACCTATAACTGTCTTGACCTGAATTCTGCCTGCAGTTAACTAGGAATAGGTTTCTCTGCCTCTCATGTCTCCACGTGCTCCTCCAGGGAGGTCCTAGAGGTGCTCCTGTTGCACCCACATGGCATCAGAGAAACCCACTGCTAAGAATGAGCATTGGGCCTTATTGCTCGGGCAAACAGAAAGGGGCAACCTCTCCCCTTCTTTCCCTAGCTGAAAAATCATTTCTCTTTTCACTCTACTCTATGAAACATGTTCAGCTTTCTATCTAGCACGCAGCTTATTTTTAATCAGCCCAGCTCCTTGGTAAGACAGCCTAACCCTTCTATGTCTTCTCCTCTCAAAGAATTCAGAGCTTCCACGTGTAGGATTTTACTTCCTGCAAAGGAAGTTCACTGTAGCCCTACAGCTTTTGTTTCTTAAAACGTTCTTATCTTGGATCTGCTTTATCATCTGGTTAAACTCAGGAATGATCAAACTCAGTGCTTATCCGTAGAAACATGCGCAGGAAGAGCACAGGATTGATCTAAGAAGCTTAATGACTCTCAAAACTTGATTCAAAGAACACAGCTAAACCCCAAAAGACACCTAGAGGGTTTGCAGCACGGAAGTCACTCCTTCCTGTCCGAGCCACTTTAACACCAAATGCGGAGAGATACCATGTGTGCTTCTTTCAGTTTTATCCTGGTTACTTTACGCTATCCCAGAAGAGCAGCCAAGAAGAAACTCTCACCTCAACAACACTGAGAACACCTTGTGGCTACCGGTCCTGTCACCCATGCCTTGCTCCTCACCAGAGAAGAGGTTCAGGGTAGATGGCCCTCAGCATGCTCCTGGGGCACCTCGTGCTGACACCAGCACAAAAGAATGTCATTTTGGTATGACCCTCCTCCAGACCTACCCATCACGAGTGCCACCCCCCTCAAAAGCAGCCTCTGTTATTCCTTCCAACTTGTGGCCAAGCTGTTGGCACCTCACAACCCCGTCATTCATACTTTAGCTTCAGCAGCAGAACACTTTTAACTAGTTTTACTTGGATTACAGGCACGCTGATCCTCTTGGGTCTTCTGCTTTCTGCCAGCTACTCAAACTCATCAAGGACCTTCTCTTGCTGCGATATACATTGTGGTACGTAGCAATAATTAGCCAGGAGAAGCTGTAAAGGCTCTATGGAGACCCGGACTGAACTGAGTGGATGTAAAATATCAAAACTTGATGCATGAACTCTCTGCTGGTCCCCCTCCTACATACCAATACTGCGTGAACATTTGTGAAGAGAACAGCCAGAAACGAAAAATTAGTGAATAATGAAAAAGGTGTATTCGGTTGCCCTATGGGTTACCTCACAGAAGGATTATTCAAGTGACCTCCTTCGTCAGCAGAAAATCCCTACAGCAAGGCCTTTCATGTGATTCACGAGAGTCGTGCACCCAACTTAAATGAGAATTTACTCTTGCGTAACATTAAATAGAGTCAGCTGCATAAGCAGGCTCATTTTCACCGCGTCCTACCCTACGTCAGTATCCGTTTGGTGATCTTGAGTAAGAGATCATAATCGTGCTCCTGAGCAGTAAGTAGGTAAGCTGTTTCCAGTCACAGAAAAAAAACAGCTAAGTGGAAGAGTTAGTGAGCTTGCTAGTACCGTGAGCATTAGCGTGTAGGTGAACTTACACAGACCCTGGTAAACAGACAGCTGATCCTTTCCTTGCTAAAATCTGGAGCTAGCAGATAAGGAAAGGAAGAACAAAGCACAAAATGGGAACAACAAATTCAAATTAAGTGCTGGAGAAACCAGAACTTTGGTACGTGCTTTCAAGTTCTGGGGTTTCTCTGTTGACTGGTACTCCCTGTGTGGCACAAACAGAAAAATGTGTTTACAGGTTCAAGCAGCTGCTGTGGGTTTCTGAATGCAGGGGCTGCTCCCTCAGCCAGTCTCATCAGAAGTAACCAACCAGGCTGGGAGAGAAAGGTGCTTTCAACTTTCAGCACTTCACCTTCAGACAAAGACTCAGTCTACACAGGTGAGGGTGGATTCAAATAGGGGCATCTCCCGCTTGCTCACTGCCTCTCCTCACATTTTTAAGTGCTCTGGAAATAAATTTTTAGCAGTGTACCAGGTGTAGATGGCAAGGTGTGGGCGGTGGGGGGGATACAGGGTGGCCTCTGTGGGAAGAGGCCGGGCCTGCCCCATGCCAGACACAACTGCTTCCAGACAGCTCCGAGCGACTCATCCCAGGACACAGCTGAGCCCCTCAGCCAAGACGGTGGTACCTCTGAGAAAAAACGTATTTAGGAAAGGGCAAAACACCACACAGGCAGGAGGCAAGGTGGGGAGTGAGAAACAGCAGTACAAACACCAAGGTTGGTGAAGGAGGAAAGGAAAGAGGTGCTCCAGGCACCAGAGCAGAGATTCCCCTGCAGCCCACGGAAAGGAGCCCACAGGAACACGGGGATATTTCCTGAAGGAACGACAACTCCTGGACGGCCCGTGCAGGAGCAGGTTTATCCTGAAGGACTGCAGCCCACAGGAAAGACTCACACTGGAGCAAGGGAACGGTGTGAGAAGGAAGGAGCAACAAAGAGAAGCTGTTATGGACTGACTGCAACCCCCACTCCCTGTGCCCCTGCACCCCTCAGGACAGGGGAGAAGGTAGAAGAGCTGCAAATGAAGAAGTAAAGTTGAGTGGGGCAAAAGGGTGGGTGAGGTAGGGGAAAGCTGTTTTAGTTTCTGTCTTTGATTCTTTCCACTCTACTCAATTTCTAACTGGCAATAAATTCTCCCCAATCTGAGCCTGGTTTGCCCATGACAGTAGTTGGTAAGTAATCTCCCTGCCTTCATCTTGACCTACACGCTCTCTTCCAGCTTATTTTCTCCCCATCCTGTTGAGGAGAGGGAGTAAGAGAGCAGCTGGGTGGGCACCTAGCAGCAGGCCAAGGTCAATCCACCACAAGCTGTTGCCTTTTAAAAGAAACTTAAAATATACTGGTTCGCATTAAGCATTTGCCAGAACAGAATTTCAGATCAGCATTTGCCTAAAGCTTGCAGACAAGATTTTTCTACTGTAGTTTCCAGAGGAAGATTTTGTACTTCACCACTTCTTCCTATTTTCAAAATCTGACACAGATAAGGATTTCCAACACCCATTTACTATGTATACATTATTTGCAGAATTACAGAGAAGAGTAATTTTTATATGGAAAAATATAATATTAAAAATCTTACATACAAGAACAACACATAGCAACAAAAGGCTGCTCGCAGAACTAACATCCAGTCTTTCTGTCACCAGCTAAGATGAAATTCCTCTAGGCTGGGTTTTAAACAGTGATATTAAAGTCTTCTCTTTTTTTTGGTTTGTTGTTGTTTTGTTGGTTTTTCCCCCCCCCCCCCCCCCCTTCTTTTTTTCCTTTTTTACCCCCCATAAAGGAGACACTCATTAAAAATAGTAATGTCTAAAACAACATTATTTAATTCTTAGTCAGGCACCTGAAGATTTGGCTTTGAGCATCTTTTGAAAGCAGCAGTCAGAGGAATCCAGTTTCACAGAGGCGCCGGTGACGGAGTTTCTGAAAACGTCTTCCGAGCTGCAATCCGTAGACATTTTGGGCAGCCTCCAGACTTGAAGCACGCTTTGTGAAAGCATGTTTTGCACTCTGTTTATACGTACAAGCAGTTTAACATCCAGGAAAAAAAACAAATCCAAGAAATTAATCAATAGCTGTGTTCCTTGAAGGATGTTCTAATTCACCCAAGTATAAAATTAAACAGAAGCCCTGCAAGGCCAGGACAACACCCACCACTGTTATTAACTATGACTAAACATTCTGGTAAGATCTGCAGGCTTCACAAGGCATGTCAGCAAGCTCTGCTATAGCAGCAGTATAGCAGTGTCCCAGGGACTCTCACGTGTAGGTCCAAAAAATAGCCTCCCCCTGCAGCCATGATTACGTTCAGGCAAGTCCCTGGTTTTGCTCTCTGAATTCACCGATGCAAGGTAACTCTCACAGGCTGATTTTCAAAGATGCATGCTATCCATGGTTTTCAAATACACATGAAGGTTTTCAAATACACATGCTTTCAGTGAAGCAACTTCTCTATGTTTTCCTAAAATAAGTCTGAACAGTTTTACACACCGACGTGACCCCCCAGGAAGGAGGAAAAATGTTTGGTCTGGAACATACCTGTGCACCTTTTGCATTTGGCAATCTGATATGGAAAGAGCAGATCTGCACTCTGACAGAATTCACAGATAAACCCCTTCGCTTGACAGAGCTACAAGGACAGCAAGAGAGTTCATTTACTTTCAATCCAAGAAAAAAATACTTGGGAATGTCAGCAGGGATATTCCTCACACTAGCAGCTGTGAGGACGCGAATAGCCCCAGCTTTTCCTTACCTCACAACCATCCACGTGGGAGGTGGAGCTCTTCAGAATATCTTTAAGAAGGGGCAGTAACTGCCCTCGTTTGATCTTCACCAGATCATCCAGTGAGAAGAGATGCAGCTCCTCTGTCAGGTGACTGGGGACCTGTTCAAATTCTTTCAGTACGCTGCAAAGAGAAAGGAAAAACAAAGCAAGTTATAAAAAGTTGTTTTTCAAGTACAAGTTTCAGAATAAGTCCCTTTCACTTCTCTAGTTACCCACAGAGCATATAAGGCAAGTTCAAGCTAAATCTTACCTCCCCTGCCAGTTTGAGATCACATTAAAAACCTGGAGATGGGATGTAGAATGAAATGTCTGCTTTAAATGTGCATTCCTCAGGCACTGGAGTTGCCATATGCAGTTACCCAACAATTCTTAAATAATGCATAAAGGGCTCTCTCCTACCTCAGGAACAGTATGTAAAATCCCATACAGTATCTAATGCAATAAGCTAGGGTTATTTATTTATTTTTTTTTTTTAACTGCACAGACAACTTTGAGATTTTTTTATCCTGCATAGGTCACCATTGGGTAAAACTATAGTGGTACTGAGCTATACTGAAAATATAGGTATTACTTTTAAAACATCACTGGTTTAGAAGGTACAGTGAGGATCCTAACACTTATTTATATAACAGAATCACAGTTAGTTGTCTAGAAGAGAGACATTAAAATACATTTCTGTGTTAGAAAATTACACGTTCACCAAAATTAAAGAGGTCAATGTTAAAGAGAGAGTAGAACCTACTTTTAAAGCTTATTTTTCTTTTTAAAAAGGTCAGAAATTCTGCAGTGAAGGTTTTATCATTCACTTGTTTCCCTAATTAGTTATGCCCATAGTTTGGGAAGGTGAATACCACAAATTTTTAATGTGCAGCAACAAGCAAGGTGATGTTTTGGTATTTACCACTGTTGGTTACTACTTTCATCTGAGTATATTTATAAAATAAACTAAATTGAACATTATGACAGATTTCTGGAAGAAAACTTTAAACCCTCAAGGAACACAATTGTTCATTTTTTTACAATTTTTTTTAAAAAGGCAAATTATCTCAGAGATATACATAAGTATCTTTGACTTTTTAAGAATGAGAAAGAACCTAAGAGAGACAGAGTAGAAAAAATATACACCTAACAAAAAAGTAATTCAGCATTTAAAAATCAAATGTCTGAGTCTGTTACAAGAAACAGAAAGCTACCACATAAAACTTGTTCTTCGCTCAACATTTTCAGGGCAATAGAAGGAATTTTTGTTATTAGAATTTTCTCTAATGATCATATTAACTCATTTAAGACTGCACTGAAATGCCTCTAGAGAAGAAGGCTCTATAAGCACCTTCGATACAATTTAATAAGCTATTTTTCACAGCCCATACCTTTCACCAAACCTGCAGGTTTTCAAAAGCTTTTTCAAATGAAAAAGCTGTTCTTGTGCCTCCTAAAAGATGGAAGGGGAAAAATTAAACCGTTTTTGAAATTAAAACCAATTGCATTTACATATTCATAAGTGAGAAACACCACTATTTAAGTCAGAAACCCTTGTCAGTACATCACAGCACACCGAAAAATAGGAACCTCACGCTCAGCACAGAATTAGACAAATGGATTTTCTAATGCACAAAAGGCCAAGGAAGGGAAAGGCTACTTTTATTCACCGACAAGGGAAACAATTCCTAACACTACAAATGTCAGCACACCAAGATGCTAAAGCCAGACCTGTGTAACAACAGGCAAGTGTCTCCTCAGCCAAGAAAGGACCGCACGGCAACTTGTAATCTTCAGCAGAGCACTCTTTCTCAAAGTGTAGGATTTACAGCCCTTAGAGGAGCCAAAGGTGTCTTCTCTAGTGGCTCACAAAATTAAAAAGTCATTCAAAACTTTTGGGGCTTTCCAACAGCCAATTGCCAAGCAGAGGTAAATATTTACTGCAGGAACCCAGCTCCCCTCTGCAGACTAAAACTGGAAACCAATAAGGAAACACCTCCCAGAGACAAGGGGGAAAATGAGACCCCTGGCAGAAGATGGAAACTCCTCTCTCCTCCCCATTTATCCGAGGAGAGAGAGGGCAAGTCCCAGAAGTGGTGATGGGACAAGTCTAAGTGCAGAGAAACAAACTCTGCCTCCTTCCCACATACCCACACAGCAAAGGACAAACTGCACTAAGGAGTTCTTCCCAAAAGTCTCAGACCCACAAATTCCCAATAAAAAAAGCCCACACTTACCCTCACCCTGTCCATTTCTTTACTTTTTGTGTAGAGGGCTTTGTTAACACACGACACATTGAAAATTGGGTGCTGCCATATGCTGTCCAGTAGGTGTTTGGAGAAGTTGCATACGTAGTATTTTTTGAAGTCCCACTTCAAAAGTATTCGGGCAGGAATGGAAGACTGGGCATAGCTGTGGCAGCAGTCACAGAAGTATTTCCCCAGGTAGTCACAATAGCGGAGTCTCCCAACATATTCTGCAGGTAGGCAGCAATGAAACTGTGAATATTTCTAATACTTACTGGATATACCTCTTGTCTGTATGCCTATTCTGTCTAAATAACTCAGATGTACTGGAACGAGGGACAAGAGATTTATTCTGGGGGTTTCTTGGTTTTGTTTTTTTGTTTGTTTGTTGTTTCTGGTTTGTTTTGGTTTGGCTTTTTAAAGTAGGGGGGTTTATTATTGATGTAAACACATTCACAATGTCTGTACTTTGCATTAGAAGAGAAAGCTTTCCTCGTTTCCATATTTGTCAAACTGATTATACTTATCACCATGAGAGCTTAGAGAAATCATTGCTGCTTTACCCCCAAGAGAGACACACAAGATAAAACACACAGCAAAATACTTTTACCAAATGAAAAGACAAGCTGATCTTGGAGTCACATTCATATAATACTTTTTCATATAAAGAGGTTTGTGGATTTTTCCCAGCCATCCCAGAATATCAGGTTTGCTCAAGCTAATGTGCCATCACAAATTGTTGATACTTCACAGGCCATCACAAATGCTGCTCTTTTGTGAGCAGACCCAGAACAAGTCCTGAAAGCCGCTTCAAACATTCCTCAGGTACAGTCTGGTTGTCAGACTTGTAAATCATCACACTTCCAAGCAGTTCTCACAAAGTATCACCAAAAAAACACAAGCAGGATTTTGTGATCAAGATGTAAAGAAAAAAAGAAGTTTTTAAAAGACGCCCCAAAAGATCAGAAATGCACATTTCATAAGCTTGCATAAAACTTCCATAAAGTCTCTAAAAAGAGACTTTTGGAAATGTGTGAACTGGCACAGAAGAACAGCTATGGAAAGAAGCCATTGGAATATGTCAAACCAGCACTTCCCAGCTTGGAACTTTTTTTTTTTGATTGTTTTTCCTGTCTTGCTGCTGACTGTCATGAATTTTTACTGTATATGACAAGGACAGCTATCAAGTATTGTATTCTGTCCACAGTGAGAAATTCCGGGCAGTGGGATCTTACCACTTACTATTGCAGGTGCATTCAACAGTGAGATTTGCCTTCTATCTCAGATCATTTTACAATTGTGGTAAACCTATGTTGGTGAAGATTAAAGCCTGATTACTAGTAATGGATTCATAAGGTTTTTTTTTCCCCTTTTGGCAATACTTACTGCTTTCTATTGGAGTTCCACAACCAACACATGTAAAGTTTTGGGCAGCCACCACTGCATCTCTCCTGCATACAGAGGCAAATAGTTACACCTTTCAGCATCCAAAACACAGTTTAGTTAACATTCTCCCAAAGTGCAAGAGAGCTACACAGGCACCAGTGAAAATGTCCAAATTAGGAGCTGATTTCTACTCTTCCACATGAAGAGGGGAGTTCTGGAAGGAGGTGCAGATTATTATTTCAGTAGGAGTCTCTAAGCTATTATGTAGAGACTATACCATCAATTACTCCTAAATATGGCTTGATGCAAGAATTAAATTCTTTTCCATTTCTTTAGGTGGCAGTGGGAAATCCGCATCTGCAACTGAAAAAGCAACTGGACCTGCAGCAAAACAGGGAATTAGCTAGTTGCCTGCTGCGTGCATTTAACAGCACTTTACGCAGAGTGAAACAGTAGTTTCACCAAACACAACTTGTTTTTACTTCCCTTTCTGAAAACCTACTACCCATAAAATATCAGCAAGGAAACTGTGAAGAATATTCTCCGGGTAGTCTCACAAAATGAAATTTTTTAAGAGTCCAGCTAAGCACACTGCCAACATAACACCAAACAGTATGTGTATTATCACATGTAAAAGTGCACGTGCCATGTTAGTCAGGATGTGCCAACAGAGGGAAAAAAGATGCCATCTGCCTTCCAGCAAAGCTGGTGACACACACTGCATAAGGCTGCACCATGCACTAGCTCCAACCTTAGGTTCTGTTAAATCACCCAGGCTCCTTCCATCAACTTCAACAGGTTTTAAACAAATCCCCATGCTGTACTAAACAACAATGTTCAGATCCCTTAGACTTACTTGACTGAAGGGTGAATATTAAATATAATCTGAGATCTCGGTGGAGACCAGCCAGAAGATCCTCTTAATTTGGATATGATCTTTATTTCTTCAGCCAGATTCAAACTGGACTCAAGCTCTCTTGGAATCTCTTCTTTCAGCACAGACTATTGGGAAAGACAAACTCGAAGATGAACAGCCCATGAGCTGGGCATATGTTAAATGCTATGAAATATCTTCATTTATACACCAGGATTTTAAAGTTCAGTTTTCACCTGCATCCAGTCCCCCCTCAGTTAAATTCCCTCATATCAGTCCCAGAAGAGAATACATCCTCACTGTTTACAACTGTACATCTTAAATGTGCTGAAAAGTGCTAGAGACAATAATTTTTCTAAAAATTTATCTAAGATGAACTAATAAACTGTAAATAGTCATCTGTATTTATTTTTTTTTTATTTTATTTTTTTTTTAATGCAGCTTCCCCCCTCTCTCTAACAGGGCAGCAGCTGCAGCGAGACAATGATTATTTGGGGAACCAAATAAAGAGCCCGCTGTTTTCGGCTCAGACTCACCCTCTGCTTAGACGAGCTCAGGCAACCAGACAGTTGGACTGAAGAGTCTGTCTGCAACCAGTGTTTTCTGAAAGCTCTACACAACTCCTGGGCTGTCGCTTCAGCGGAATTGCTGCCCGGTTCAAAAGATGATCTGAAAGTTAAGCAATACAAACAGTGAAAAAGCATAGCAGGGAATAGCAGCATGTCAGCAGCAGCCCCGCTGCCTCCTCTGCATCCCTGAGAAGTTTTCTCCCATGCCTTGCTTTGATACACCCAGGCCACAGCCACCACCCTCCAGCGAGACTCCAGGACCAGAGAAGCGCTCTGCTAAGCCAAGCGCCACAGACATTTGCTGTCAAGCAGCATTCCTTCCCCTTCCTTGCGAGGACCAAATCTACCACTCCCACAGCTTTCTGTGTCCCAGCCAGAAGAGTCACCAGAAAGCTGGTCCAGCAGAAAAGGTAGTGCCACCAGGCTAAGATACATAGCATTACCTTTCATCTGGGGCGACAGACAGATTTTCAAGGTCTTCAAGTTCTGTGAAAAAGCAGAAAATTTTATCAAGCCATCTGCGAAACAAAGCTTCTGTTACTCAGCACTGTTTTAAATCTACCTGCTGTGCTACCACAATGTCAGTTTCAAATACATTAATCTTTACAACACCCTTGCTGGATATGAGAAATAAGTTCAGGCCTGGGTGTAAAACAGGCATAAAGAGTCTTATCTCCTTGGCAAATCTCTGACATCCACTCATGAAGAGTACTCCTAACAGCTATGCATCACATAGTCACTGATCGTCACATAGTCACTATCAGCCTCCCTTCAAAAGGGGGAGAATTGGTAAAGAGAAACTAAGTGCCTGCTAGGCCAGGTCCAGCCAGGAGGCACTAGACATAAATAATAATATACAGAACCAACAGGGTGCACATTCATTTTTTTGGACGCCGACAGATATTTGGAGACACCCATCACGAGCATGCCAGCTAACACCATGAACAAATCAGTAACAGGTGAGATGAATGGAATTAAAGCACACGTTTCTTCATTATGTTTGTACAGACAAAATATGCTTATGCAGACAAGGTGTTCACGTGGGTAGCATTAGTACTGGCCATTCGTACTGTTCACAAGACAAATGCTTCCCCATTCATGCATATCAAAATAACTCTTGCTACTAGAAATTCAGTTTTGGGAGCTAATTCTTTACTCTTAGATTAAAGGAAGAGGTGGTGAAAAACTAAGTGAATCTCTAAAACCAAAGGGAACAATAAAAAATGCATTTGTTAACAGGAAAAAATAAGATAGAGGTTAAATGTTGCTCAGGCTACTTTTAAGGGTTTCTGTATATGTAAAGTACAGAAGGTAACCAAAGAAACTCAGGCTGTCCTGAATAGAAGCAGAGCACTGGTGACTATAAGGGGACAGAGACATTCTGCTCTAGTCCTGAAGCAAAGGAAGGGCTGCCTAAAACCTTAACGACCTCTTTAATTAGGAATTGATCATGTCCTAAATTGTCTCAAGCAACGCTGCTACAGTTGACTAGGGTTGTGTCAGTTTCACACTTTGCTCACCCACATTCACTGGGTTCATCCTTAGACATAATTCCAGTCCTGTATTGGGTTGGGACAGCAAGGTTTTGGTATGGGAATCCACAGGGGTGGCTTCTATGAGAAGCTGCTGGAAGTTTCCCCATGTCCAACAGAGCCAGTGCAGCCGGCTCCGAGATGGACCCACCACTGGGCAAGGCTGAGCCCATCAACAGAGGTGGTAGCACCTCTGGGAGTTAAGAAGGGGAAGAAAACCTGCTGCACAATTGCAGCTGGAGAGAGGAGTGAGAATATGTGCGAGAACCTATTCTGCAGACACCAGGGTCGGTGAAGGAGGAGGGGGGAGGAGGTGCTCCAGGCACCGGAGCAGAGGTTCCCCTGCAGCCCCTGGTGAAGACCACGGTGAGGCAGGCTGTGCCCCTGCAGCCCGTGGGGGTCCACAGTGGAGCCTGCATGGAGGACCCCACGCTGGAGCAGGGGGATGCACCCAAAGGAGGTTGTGACCCTGTGGGAAGCCCACGCTGGAGCAGGCTCCTGGCAGGACCCGTGGAGAGAGGAGCCCACGCTGGAGCAGGCTCCTGGCAGGAGCTGTGACCCCGTGGGGGACCCACGCTGGAGCAGCCTGTTCCTGAAGGGCTGCACCCCGTGGGAGGGACCCACGCTGGAGCAGTTCATGAAGAGCTGCAGCCCGTGGGAAGGACTCATGTTGGAGAAGTCCATGGAGGACTGTCTCCCGTGGGAGGGACCCCACGCTGGAGCAGGGGAAGAGTGTGAGGAGTCCTCCCCCTGAGGAGGAAGGAGCAGCAGAGACAATGTGTGATTAACTGACCTCAGCCCCCATCCCCCTGTGCTTTGGCAGGAGAGAAATCGAGAGTAAAGCCCAGGAAGAAGAGAGGGGTGGGGGGAAAGTGCTTTAAGAGTTGGTTTTATTTCTCATCAACCTACTCTGATTTAACTGGTAAAAAATTAATTTTCCCAAGTTGAGTCTGTTTTGCCCATGACAGTAATTGGTGAGTGATCCCTCCCTGTCCTTATCTTGACCCACGAACCTTTTCATTATATTCTCTCCCCCGACCAGCTGAGGAGGGGAGCGATAGAGCGGCTTTGGCGGGCACCTAGTGCCCAGCCAGCGTCAACCCGCCACACCCTCAAATCAGCAAAGATTCCTTTTTACAAAAGGAAATCCTGCACCAGTCTGGTATCTCTGCATGTGTTCTAATAAGAAGTCATGCATATATATTGTTCTTTCCATTATCTCACGTTACTTCTCCTGCAACAACAGCTACTAAGTCAATATATTTTCTTAACCATGCAACAAATTCAGCTAAACAATGGAGCTGTTGCTGCAGTTGTAATTTTAAAGTCTTACCAATAATTACATATTCATCCTCTGAGTCACTGTGGCAACGAAATCTGGTAGCCTCATGACGTGATGGCAGATGCACTGGGGAGCTGACGGGCAGCAGAGCACTGCCTGTCCGGAACAAAGACAACACCAGTTAAACTTTGCCAGCATTTACAGAGTAGCTGCACTTATATTTATAGTTTTCTTTGCTTATCAAAACTTTAGCACACAGCATGTATTCAGAGAGCAATTTTATTTATTTGGCTTTCTGTGCATGTGTATAAAAACAATTCTTGGGTGTCTGTCATACAACATGCCCCTCAGTTTCTCAGAAAGGAGTTTCTGGAGACTAAACCAAAAGCTTTTATATTATTAGTGGTCTCTCCCCTTCTCACGTGCAAGCACGCCATCCATTTTTCCCCAGAAGTTATGTCTAAATTTAGACTTTAGACTTAAGTTCCATTGCTAAGGTCCATATTACTGAAGAGACTAAAATCTACTCAAAAATCTGTGTGCTGACTCAAACATTATAGTGCCAGGAACATTTATTATCTTGTCTCAAACTATACGTGCATGAATAAGCGCGGCAGTTTCACTCAAATCAATTGCGTGGCCTGATTTGCATATTGCAGAAGTAAACACAGAAAAAAAGAGCCAAGCTTCAAATTCTGCAAAAAAGGATTTAAGCAGAGACAAAACCAGCCAACTACAGACATGTTCTGTGGAGAGTTGTGCTTGGTGTGTGGCACTTCAATCTTATATTTTCTTTTTCACATAAAATAATACAGATGTGAGCATTCAAAAGGAAGAATTCAGCCCACAGAGAAAACACTTGTGGCATAATGATCCTCAGGGAAACACAGCTCTCAAGAGACTCGAAGGTAACAGATGATTTGGTTCCAAGCAATGCCCAAATTAATTTAGTATTTTCTTGCATAAAAATAAATGGCAATGGCTGTCAGACAAGGTTGCCGTATGGACTAAGTAACTTGCCTTCATAGCCACTGTCTGAAGAGGCAACAGAAGAATCAGACTTCTTCACTCCAGGGTAAGAAGATAACACCAAATCAGTGTGATAGCTGCCATCTGATCCACTCGCTTCCTCCACACCCCAGGACTCTGCTTGTTGGCTTAGGATATTACATTTCATTTTTTCTAGCGATGCTATAATCATATCTGCAACAAAAAAGTGCGCGTTTTCCTGGACACAGGATTGGAACGCTCATTAGTACACAGCGTATTTGATATTTACTTGAGTGAAATATATAATTTTCCCCTGTACTTTTTCAACTCAACCGAGAAGTAAGGCTATCTCACCTTTCATTTAAACAACAAAAGAAACACCCCAAGGGCAATTCAGAGACAACATGCAAAAGGCAACTGCTCAGATAATTGTCTCACCCTTGATTAAAACATACAATTTACTTTAATCTTACTCATCTATTAGATAAAAAGAAACTCGATTACATGCCTAATTCATTAATATGTATGCATTTTAGGGACTTAGTCTTCTAGTTACACTAGGTTATTTAGTATGCAAGTGTGAATCCATGTAACCTATTTAATAGGACTTAATTTCAAGTCAGCATGTACAAGCAGTTTTGCACCCATGCTAACTTGGACGGGGCCAGAAGTGGCAAGTTTTGAAGGGACTGCAGATCTTCAGGTGATGGGTAGTACAGAAGCTAGTAAAATGCTTTCACTCATAAAGAGTTAAGGCAGTGAAGTAGGGACTATGTAGTGAGATAGCTTACGTGGTCAACTCAAGGCTGCAAGTAGGAGCCTAGCTCCCCTGGGGTTCACGCTGCTGTAAAAGGCAGCTGTTTCAAAGCTTCACCTTAGCTTTTCCCGGCCAGACAACCCCTACCCATGGTGTCCCTTAACATCTCGCCTGCCTCGGTCACCCGTTCTCTAGGAAAAGGCAATTTGTAAAGTCACCTCCGGCATCACTGAGACATCCAGACAAAACTGGAGCTCCCTTTCCCAACAGCACTGCTGTATCCCTTGCTTCCTGTGGTCTAACAGAGCACCCCACCAGCCCTGAACCTGAGCTACTGCTGCTGGCTTGGGCACAGCTTCCCAGCCCGGGCTCAGTTTAAAAATTAACGTGCCATGAAGAGATAGGTGCACTCAGGTGCACGGATGGAAACCCAGAGGTGTCCAGATACTGTCCCCTCTCAACTGTGCATGTCTGCATTGTGCAAAGCTAAACCTCTAAAAAAAATGGCAGTAGCTAGGGCTAGAGGTCCTGAGTGCAGAATAATTCAAGCTTTTTATAAAGTGGCTTATGCTCAGAAAATTGTACCACTCCATGTCAGTATTCATGACATCCCCTACAACCTGTATGGGAAGCATGAAGACAGACATCAGTGTTTAGAAACAGCTATATCTGAAGGAGCACAGACATCACTGCTTTCTTATTGTCCACAGCCAAATGCATTTAGAAGAGATTAATCTCAACATTAGAGAGAGCCCACAAGTACCTGTGGGTGTTTGAAGAGGCTTTTATCTTTTCCTTAACACTGATGAACATCACAGTGCACAGTTTCTCCAGAGACAACTTTCAGTGAACTTTGTGAAACACCATCAGCAAATGAAAGAATTAAACAGCCATTTTCCTTTTGGGAGATAAAGAAGACATCTCCTACTTCCAAGATTCAAAAAACCTGTGTGGCACTGGTTAACCCTAAATCAGGGACAGAGCGCAGCGTGTGTATCAGCACACCCTGCTGATAAAAGCAACTATGAGTGCATTCAAGAGCTGCGTTGCAGAAAGATGGACCAGCTCTCCTGTACTCAGCATGACTACCAGCTTTCAGCTCTGCCTCCTCATAGGTCCATCATCCCTGGAAGCAGCCCCACCAACCTTCTCATTTCTCTCCCCACCCACCCGCATCAGTGGAAAATCCCTCTAGATTATCTGACCCATCTCCTTCCTGGCACAGGACTACAACTCACAGACCTGCTGACACTACACGTACCTTAGTTTTCAGTTTCCTAAATTTCAAAGAGATTATTTCACAACATAAAAGTGCTTTGGGGTTTTTTTGTTTGGTTGGTTAGATGTTTGTTTTGGTTTTGGTTTTTTTTTTTTTTTGGTTGTTATGTGGTTTTTTTTTTTTTTTTTTGTTTTTTTTTTTTTTTTTAAGGCAGCCTCTTTCATAACAGACTAAGCCCTTGATATCTTTTAACACCTGTAGTCACATCAGCCCCCAATCATCTACACAGAAGTAGCTGATGCAATCTTGCCTCACTCAGTAGTTCTCCGACTACAGTTTCTAATCCAGATATCTATTCACTGGTCTCCTGGTGACTGAAAGGAAATTACTTTGGGCTTGGTTCCCACATTATAGATGGAGAAACATCATCTCCTTTCTGAAACACCTTTTACAAAAAGCAACATGAAAAGCTAATTCACAAGTTTGTTGGCTTTTGGTGTGTGACTTATTGGGTGGTTTGTCTGCTTTGTGTTTTTTTGTTTGTTTGTCTTGTTTGGGTTTTTTTTTTGTTTTGTTTGTTTGTTTGTGTTTTTTTTTTTTTTAATGCACCTTAGGGACACTGAGAGCTTCAAATCAAATGAAGGATGTGCCACTCCAGTAAAACCAGTGCTGTGCACAAAGACAATTACCTCTTGGGCCCAGGACATGGGACCACATGCATATCCACAGTCCCGCAAAAAAATCTCCTTCTGTAGGCACATCTTTGAAGCTCTTTTGGATTAAATCCTACTTATTGCAATAACTAATTATAACATTAACCCCTCTTTCCCAAATGTTAGAAAAGATTAACATTTAGCAGAGTTATGTGTGACAACATTATCTTCTCACCTTTACCTCTGTTTATAAGCTCCAATGGGCTGCCTATCTAGCAACACACCTAAGTGTTTGAGCCCCTTATGCAAATTAGAAACCATGAGAAACTGCTTAAATTACTCCAAATGTTACAGTTATTGTGCTTGTTATTCATATGGTAATTCTTTCACAGCGATCTCACATGCTCATCATGCGCACCCACAAAAAAACCCCAACTTCTCCCTATCTCCCAATAATAAAAGCATGAGGTAAATCCCATCCATATGCATGTAGCTGCAACAAATTCTACATAACATATTCTACTGTAACTTTAAAGTGTCTATAATAATCTTAACGTCTGGTCTCAAGGAATGTGTGGGAAAATGATGGAGTGAAAAGGGGAAATGTTTAGTGTTATAAAATATTCCTATTTTAAAATAATTAATGGATTAAGAATAAAAATAAATTAAGAAATAGGCATTTTAGGTTTGTATGTTCACCCACAGAGGGGAAGAAGAGGGAAAATACAGGATTTGTAAAGAATATTCCATCTATCAGAAAGTTCTGTTATTGAGAAATGCCTCCTGTCATTTGGTTTTGCCACTATAAAACGGAAAAAAAAAAAAAAATACAACTAGTCTTTATTGTCCTCACCTTCTCTACATCTTCTGGAAGCATGCAGATGTCCTGCAATGAGCGATTCAGGAGTATAGCACTTATGTTCAAAGGAGAAGGAGAATCTGTGGGTATAACAAGAACTTTTATTAGTTTTTTGAGTTTCTTCTGCAGCAACCAGGATGAGTGCAGAGTGATTTCCAGAAAGCAAAACAAACTTTCTGCCCTAAAACTGAACACCGTTGGGGCTAGAGGTTGTGGTGGAAGTTAGGGAGAAGAGAGAAATGCGAGGAACTCACTGGCCTTTGAACTACCCTACCAACCCGAAGCAGGAATATCAACTACCAGGAAAACACAGTTTAAATGCTGTGTGGTGATAGCACCCCCAACACCAGCCCTCTGCCAGCTACCGCCCGCGGACAACCAGAGCCAGAACCTCAGGCTAGGATTACAGGGATGGTCCACAGTTTTCAACATGGCCAACTCCTCTGCTCATTCACAATAGTTGGAAGAAAAAAGAAATCTCACTGCTGTCCGGGCACACAGAGAGATGCATCAGCTCTAAAAGATTCCCTGAATCACTGCTGGTATCATGGGACTACAGCAACTTTGAAAAAGCTCTGTCATTATGCTTCCAAACCTTGAGGAAATCTCCCTCCTGTTTCCAAATGCAACCCATACTGCATGATAATATGCACAACCGGGATGGAGGCGCTAGCCACAGTACTCTCTGCTTCCCAGAATAACAGTTCTGTTTTCCTGGCATGTGCTGCTGGGTACGATAGGCAGGTGAAACAAAATTAATCTCTTTTTCCCGTTAAGAACTTTTCACTATGCAGCAGGTGACGCATCTGGTTTTCTACAGATGTACCATGGATTGCTTTTTGTATATATGGTCACAATCTTCTTCCCCAAATAATTGAAGGTGTGAGATCACACCCTCATGTTTTGTTTTCAAAGCACTCACAACCACTGCTACAAGAAATCTGCTGGAAGGATAACAAAGATTGTTTATAATGTCTATGGATATACACACTTTTGAACTATGAAAAGAAATTACTCCTGTTTTTTTTTTTTTTTTTCACATTGACTTGTGTTTACTACCTCTTCTTTGACCCTATAGCCAAGCAATTTGTTTCACTGTAGTGATGTTTATAGCATAAAATAAACCATATCTAAATGCTACTAGCACACATGCCATTTAAAGCCATTGCAGATAACATGGCTTAATCAATAGCTCTTAAAAAAAAAAAAAATGCCATTCCTAAATTTGCTTAAAAGTCACAGGAAGGATAAAGAGGTCCCACAAAATGAGAATAATTTATGAAAACAGATTTAATCACCTAATCAGGCTACTTTCATGCCTATTTGATGATTCATTTTACTGGATAAGCAGTGTGTAAGGAGCACAGGTAAGAGTTAATGGCTCTACAGCTTGATAAAAGCTTACATTCTCATCAGTTAAAAGAGCAAATATTACTCCTGAACTAAAAATAATATGCAGAAATAAGGAAATTGGAAAATTATTCCTTTCTCTTTAAAATAGAAGATGCAATTCATCTTAAATATAATTTTGAAACCTAATAGGATCTTTTTCTTTTGCTTACCTCTTGCATCCTACTTGCATCTTTCTGTGAAAAGAATGTAAAGTGGAAAGGAGCATGGGAACAAAGCCCAACACATCCAGCAATGGGACGCAACTCTGGGTCTGAGGCAAAAAATAATCTGGTCACCCTCCTGCTCCTGAGCGCTGTTGCCTGAAGGCTGCTGGGGGTGGGGAAAGAGTCCTCAAGAGCCACAGAAGGAAGTGACTTTGATGCACACTGAGGTTAAAAGCAAGAAAAAGCCCTGCCAACTGCCTGTGACACACCAGCCACAACAAAGCCCCCAGAAAACACCAAATTCAGTCACAGGCTCCTCATTAACAATGATGGAGCCTTGTCAGAAGGTTCCATGAGGCCACCAGGGAATGGTCCTTAAATGTATGAACAAGGCCTAACAGGGATCCCACAGGACCAGCATAAAATCCCACTGAAAAAAAAATTATTTATTCTGATTTAAGTTGTCCTATGTAATTTTCTTACATCTTGTACATCCCTCACCAATTCTCCTATAAGAAACAAAAGTGGGAAACCACCACCTCTGAGATAGAAATGGAAAGGATGACAAGTCAGGAGATGCTCTTGTGTAATTCCCGCTTTCTTAAGAAGTATTTAATTTCTTCTTTTTCAGTTTGTCATTCTCTTTTCCCATCCGCATAGTCCTGCACAACGCAGGGGAGAATGAGACATCACTCCTGCCGCCCCCAGCTACCCAGTGGTGAGTTAAACAGCTGGAAGCAACAAGGAACAATGAAATGCCAAAATTTTCACATTGTACAGAACAGACCGAAGCCTAACGCAGAGTCCACCATGTTGCGCAGCATCTAACAGAATCCTGGCTCCCATGAGGATTATTTGTTAGTAAAATCAAGGATGCTACTTCTTCAGTCACCTGGCTGCTGCATTCCTCCATCTGCTTTCTGGAGAGCCAGCAGCGTTACTGACCCGACGCAAGCTCGTGACACACCCTACTCGTGCCAGAAGATCGAGTCACACACAATTTATTTGTTCTTTCACACGTGCCTCGTGGTCCCCGCTAACACCAAGAGCCTGGGCTGTGTTTTCCAGACGTGGCTACCCAAACCTGCGCAACTGGCCCCAGCCAGCTCCAACCGCCGGGGGTGGTTTCCTTCTCCCTGGCCGGCACCTCTCAAATTCACGGGGCCAACAAAACACCCAGCAGAAGGAAACAACCATAATTGTCACCATACTAACTGTTGACCACAGCCTACCCCAGATGACAACGTTGTTATTATTAAGCGCTCCCAGCCCTGCAACGGCACGTGCCTATTTGAGATCTCGCTGTCAAATTGAGGCCTCGGAGGAGCTCCAAGTAAATAGCTAGGAACGACCAGAGCTTGGAAGTGGAGCTCAAAAGGGTGGTGACACTAGGACTGATACTGACCAAAGGGAGAAGGAGGAATAAAAATAAAATTAAAAAGAAAAAATAAATCTACATAAGTCAGCCTTGCCATTTTTATTTATAATACAAAGGCGGGCTGAGTGGTCCCTGCTGTTTGCCTGCTTTCCAGCAGAAAGATCAGCCCTCAGTTGCACCATCTTTCCGAGGCTCCATACCTAGTTAGAAGCAGCCATTAGACACCCCTAACACCCCTTATAAATAAAAATAAAAATGTTTCATCTCGCTGTAGCAAAGGCTGTTCATATCGACGTGAGGTATCAAACCTGAGGGGACTGTTCCGCTGTGCTAGCTGAGGGGCCGGGGCCCAGGCCTGCGGCCCAGGCAGGCCGGCACGCCCCATGGAGGCGGACACGGCCCAGAGGCCAGGCCAGCCGCTCCACCAGCCATCTCGGGGGGCACCGCACTGAATCCCCCCCACTGAACAGGTCCTCGCCTACGGGCCCACGCTGCCCGAGCCCTCTGCGATGGCAGGAACTCCCTCCTCAGGAGGCAGCCTTTGCTAGCAGCCCTCGGCCTGCGTCTCTTCACAAACATGCGGGATACCCACGCGGTCGGAAGCTGGTGAGGGGCAAAAAGATCCTGATCTGCATTGGATGGGGCTATGTGTCTCTGAGATGGCAGGCGCACTGGGAAATGGAAAGAGAAAAAAATAGTCGCACTCTAGCACAAGCCAATTTAGTCATAACGACCACAGATGTTAATGCCCTGCCTCCAAAATCCCAGAATCAAAGGACTCCCTCTTCTCCAGCTCACATCAAACACAAGGAGATGTCCCAGGGAGCCCACAGACACCGATGAAATCGCTGCCAAATGCCCAGATCAGTGCTATCTGCTTTTGTGAGAAGGGTAACAGTGAAGACAAGATAAAAGTGGTAGAAGCTTCATCCAGTGGATGTTCTACATTGCTTGCAGCTCAGCGATTTCTACATTTCACCAAAGGTTGCATATTACAGAAGCATTTCTGCATCATGAGACTGACAACTACTGTAAGCATGAGTGTCTCCTGTTTCACTGAATGCAACCTTCTGGTTCTCAGTTCTTAAGCTTTCTCTTTCTCCCCTTTCCCCTCTTTTGAATGACAGCATTTGTCTAATTTGCAATCGCCATAAACAAGGCCCATTTCATTTACAGTTGTCTGTCTTAGCACAGAAATCTTAAAACAAAAGTGGACCTGTAAAGTTACCTGTTGGATTGACTGGCTCTGACTGGGAAAGTCCACTGGGAGAATTGCTGTCACCACTGCTGACAGGCGCAGGCTCCAAAGCATCAGGGTATTTCAACACATCTGCTGGCTTACCAACAGTTGGATCTGGAAGAAGCCCTGTGAAAGCCAAGTCTCTTTCTGAAGAGTTATAATGCTCTTTTCCAGAATGCACAACAGCTGATGTGACAGTGCCTCCTGTTAACGTCACCTGGGTAAAGCAGTCCTGCTTCAGAGGGCACACGTCTGAAAGAGTGAAACCATTCAAGGAGGAAGCAGCAGAATCCCTGTCAGAGTAACGGGGACAAAAGAAAGTATCCAGTGAGGGCTTAGAGGAATTGCAGCACGTGTTGTCCCAACAGGCCCGGTGCCTTGTAAACCGAATGTCTGTTTGTGTACAGGCAGCGTTGTGATGTGCAGAATCGCTGTCGTCATGGCTATCCCCGTCGCTGCTTTCTTCCCACTGCTCCACATCACTGTCCAGATGCTCAGCTCCCTGCATTGTGGTCTGCTCCAGTGCCAAAGAGGGCTTCAAACCAGACGCATTTAAAACAGACACGAGAATGTCTTTGATAGCTTCAGCACTGTCTGGGTATGATCCAAAACTTCCAGCATGTCCAATCACTGCTGGCCTTGAGTATTCATCTGTTCAGAAAAGGCAAGAAACTGAGACGTTAGGAAGCAATCATAAAAAAAATATATACTTTTCATATACAACATTAATAAAACACACACTATTTTTAAACACGGGTGAGAAGAAATGGAAGAACTAATTCACACACCACACTGCTGCCTCTTCCTGCAAGAAAGCTGTTGCTTTCTTCAGTCAGGAAGCAATTCTGTCGTTGATAAGGCTAGGTAATAAACCAACAGTGAAGTATGCTGCTTCTAGCCAAACACAATTAGTTAGGACTTTAATGGTGACTGATTGTCAGCATGCTCAAAAACATCAGTGTTCTAAAAAAAAAAATGGATGAGGTACAGTTACCAGCACAGGTACTAGTTCTATTGCCAGTAAAAGAGGTCACATTATAGCAAGACATGTGGAGTATCAATACAGCAGGAAGAAAAAAAAAAAAAAAAAAAAGCACACTTGGTAATAAAATGTCATGGGCCTGTGTGTTTCAGTTCAGTCAGACACTCCTCCTCATGTGGAAAAGGCTAAACTAACCTTCAGTCCATTACTCATAAGGGTGTCAATATTTATGTGAACTCATAAAGAAAACTAGCTCTGTTACAGTGAGTTCATTATAATACCTCTGAAGGAATCAAAAATTCCGCCCGTCAAAGTCCTACGTGATCTACTGCAAAACTAGAGTTCAACAGAAAATGGGGAAACTGCTTTCGGTGGCAAACACAGCAACATTAGCATGATGTAGAAGTGCACACTTCAACCAGTAGCTATTCAAGTATAAATTGAAGTCCTATACCTTGAACAAAAAGCCTCACAAGAACTGCCATCATCCAAGCAATGGAGAGATGAGACACAAAGTCTATGGTCAAGAATAAACTATCAACCACATCACAACAATTTAAGTTAATAACTGTCTCCTTTGGGAAGATAAGTCCATTGTAAAATGCTAAGAATAGCTACAATCGAGAAGATTCATTTCCAGGGCAAAGAACTCTTAGTTAGGACCACGAGGAATGTTAAACACCAGTGGTGAAAAAAGCAGTAGGTCTTGCAGACTGCAGACTTTGCCCAAAGGTTGATCTCCTTGGACATATCTCAATGGAAAACAGTAAATCTCTCACCCAGAAGCCAGCAAGCACTCAAACTGCATGATAAGAAAGTTTACTAACGAAGGGATCAAAACCAAAACAAAAACGCCCACATACTTTGTAAAAGCAAGTCTATACAAAAAGCAGTCCTCATTAAGAGAAAACTGAAAAAAAAATTAAGAACATCACATATAAGCTATACTGCAAGGGTTGCTAGTACTGCTGTCCTAGTAAAGCCAGGTCAAAATTAGCTGAAGAGTTGATCAGTGATTGGGACCAGCCACCTGCCACTTACCAGTACACAGCTCTTGCAGAAACAGCAGCAAAACTGCAGATTTTACTGGCTGCACTTGCAAAGAAGCACCTTGCCAACTTAGCCAGCCATGGCAGAATAAGGGCAGGAATGGGAAAAGCTGACTTTCAAACAAATGTATTTCAATCTTTTTCAGGAAAAGAAAGGAATTTTGGTAACTACTGACATTTTACTTGCACAGGAATACCTTAACCTAGGCTGAAAACAGCATCTTTTCTGTGCAAGACAACACATTTAGTTTTAGTCTTCAACTAAGAGTTTTCTGCTCTGCTCTCCTATTGCAAAGCCCATCCTAACAGCCTTCCCATCCCCTCTCACCCTTCGTCATCTCCACTACTCCAGCATCATGTAGCATCTCCAGCGCTAATCATATAACCACACTGACTTACTCCACTAAATACTTGTTCTTAGTGGATTGTAAGAGGAGAAAAGAACAATTTTTTAAATTTTAAGTCACGATTCTGTTCTGTCAAGCTTTAAAAAAAACAACAAAAACAACAACAAACTCAAAAACCCGAACAGACCAAAACCCACATTTTAAACTACTACCAGAAATAGACTGGTTCCAATAAAAAAAAAAACAAACTCAAGTTCAGTTTTGCAACTGATACTCATGTGAGTAATTATGGTGATCTGTTAAAATCCAAGAAATTATTTCTTGAATGAGCAAGGAGTTAACCTGCCAAGAAACAAGTATTCAAGTATTTTACTCTTGAGCACTCAAAATGCCAGCATAACTGACATGGCCAAACTACCATTTGAAAGGGAAAAAAACCCCCATACTTTCAAATTGTATAATATACTTTGATGTTGTCCCATCTTTAAAGCCAATAAGCAAGGTTTCACTCTCCAACCAGACTACAGTTTTTTAGTACACACAAATATCGACAGCTTTTGCTAGAACTACAAGCACGAGAGCTCCCCAGAGGGAGGATTAGAACAAACTGGCATACCTGAGAGAACGGAGATTTGAGGTGTCGGAGCAAGGCAGCTAATCCTCGCTGAGGGATTTGAAGAATACGTTGACTCGGTGAAAGCCACCTTTAGGCTTCCGTGGTTTAACTAGAACAAGAACACATAGCCAATCTGATTATAAAACAACAGTACTCTGGTAATGATACTCCCAGTCTCACAGTCATCCCAGCAGGAAGAACACCATGCTAAGGCCTGCCAACAGTCACCTAACCACTGCCTATACTTCTGGTTGTCTGAAAAATCTCCCTAAAAGCATGCACCATCTGAGGAGAGCTGGCATCTCAACTCTGCCTCTTGTATTGCACTCCAGAAAGCAGGCAACTAAAAGAAACTTTCTGTGGTAGGAGAATTAAATGTGCATAAGGCATGTACAAGAGAAAATGCCAAATCAGGTGTCTATGTATCTGCAAAACAACAGGAACAAAGTGGAAAAGAATTCAAGGAACAACCAATCCGTAGCTGGAAGCACGGGCCTGTTTAGATGTATACAGTCTGTGAGCTAAATCTGAGGCCCTGACACCACAAGCACCTGATGCATCTGCTGCTTGATCTCCCAGCTGTATCGACTGGGAGCAAGCATGGTCACAATCACATCTGCTTAATTTGATAGAACGCAGTACACACGGTTCACGTCAGCAATGTGGCTGACCCAGCATAAAGCAAGAAGCGACACAGATAATACTTGACCTGGCATACAGCCTGCCAGTATAAACTGACAAAAATTTTAAAAGCATTTAAACTGACTGAGCAGGTTTATACCAGATCAGCATTTCACTTTGTGTGGTAATGATGCTTCCGATCTGGTATGTCTAACCCCAAAGCTGGATTTATCATATTGTCAAATCAGCATAAGCTGAACAAGGGCAAGCAGCTTAGCGCAGATACTGATGGGGCTAATTCTAACAAGGCAGTAAGATACACTCAAGACAGTAATGAAACAGGTCTCCCCCCTCTCCAAGATCACAAATTCCTTCTGAGGGTCACACATTTGTCTTCCGCTCCCTCTCCACTGCCTCAAGAATATCATGGAGGTGCAGAGCACATCACAGAAAACAGGAAAAAATCAAAGTCATGTCCTGCTCCGGCAGGCACCACGAAAAGGCACTTAACCAAGGTGTACCTCGTGCCTTCTCCCCGGCTCAGTGACATCATGAAGATGTCTCCACACAGAAGCATCCCCGGGATGCCTCTCACCCTCACCCTGTGATCCCATACCAAGAGAAAGGTGTTAAAAGGTCTGCTGTCCCCTGTCACCCTGTGCTGACCTCCAAGTTCCCCATGCGGTCCCACGGGAGAGTGAGGTGACTCAGAGCAGATCTAGTCCAGATACCCTTCACACTCATGGAATGAAGAAGAAATTAAAACCCACAAAGAATTTTCCTTTTAACTGAAGAATAACATCGTGGGCCAAAACCAGTATGCTGAATTTCAAATATTTAGTGTTTGATTATGCCAGCGCTTAGAAAAATACTCTTTTCAGTATCTGATAGTGCTTTCTTTTTTTTCCTCTCTGCACTAACTTAAAAAAACTGTAATGTAGGCAGGATTTATATGTATAAATATCATATTGTCATTATTACTGGATAAAGTAGTTCTTACAGAAACTAATTTTTTATTACTTTTTTTTTTTTTAAATATACTTTTAATATCACCAATTAACAGACTACATCTTAGGATGCAAGTATCACAGCTGCCTGACACCGGGGTGAATACAAGTACTTTATCAGTAAGCGTAAACATTAAGAGTGCTAAGATTTTTTTTTTTTTTTTCACAACCTTCTCATCTCTTAGATCTTATCAGGAGCAAAAGGTCTTCTGAGCATTCAGATAAAAGATTTCCATTTACTTCTAAGATGTTACGATTTCAACCATACCACAAATTGGTAAAGAGTTCCTTTGGTATTTAACTATCAAACTAAAAAAAAAAAAAAACAAAACAAAACAAAAACAAACAAACAACCCAACCCCCCAAAAAAAAACAACTGAAGAGCGCTTATAAGGAAATATGACAGAGGTGCATGTGAAGTACCACAACACCCTGCCATAACCGATAAAAAACCACCGACATCTTTCATCGCACAGATGAGCCAGCCCTTCCCCCTCTCAGTGTCGGGACTGTATTTCCAAAATGAACCCCGTAAAACCCCCAGCATTTAAAAATAAAGTGCTTACCACAACCACTGACGATTAAAAGCTATTTTTTGAAAGAAGTTCCCCCAGCTAACGAAAACACTGAGCCAACGTTTAGATGCCTTGCTTGCCTTACCTTTTTCGAGCAGGGGTGCTTGAAGACCTCTGTTGTGCTGTAGCTGGCCAGAGCTACTGCATGGAGAGACATGATGGGAAAACATTCATTTTTTTGTTGTTGTGAAGTACCTGGAAGCAGCAGAGAAAGAATTACAATCGCCGCCACGCTAACCGCGATTCTCCGTGTGCTTTGCAGACGCTACGTTTCACGTTCCGAACTGTTTTCGGTCTTGACTTCGCACGCTTGGGAGCTTACCGAAAAGCAGAGCTCAGCGACAACGTGCTAGAAAGAGCCAAATGCGGGATTTTAAAGAAGAAACAAAACAAAACAACTGCACGACGCAGCGGGGATGCCTACCGCAGGCGTAACAGGAGCGTATTGATCCGCTGTACCCCGCAGTTTGTTGTAAAAGAAGGACTCGGCAGCACCGAAGCCAGCGAAGCCCCCGCGTTCCGGCGCTGCAGCAGAGGCTGCGCTCCCCGCCGGTACCGGGCAGGGGCAAGGCACCGGCGACGACCAAAACCCGGCGTTGTCCCGCCGGCACGGCGCTGGGGAGCCGCGCAGCCCTTCACACGGAAGCGCTCAGATCGCCGGACGGCTTTGGGAAGAGCTTAATCCGGAGCGAAATGCACCGAAACATCCCGCCGCCTCAGACTGCCTGCCTGCCGCCCGGCTTCGGCTTCGGCTTCGACTTCGGCTTCGGCTTCGGCTTCGACTTCGGCTTCGGCTTCGGCTTCGGCTTCGGCTTCGGCTTCGGCTTCGGCTTCGACTTCGGCTTCGGCTTCGGCCGCACCTGCAGCCGCGGCGCCCGCCCTGCCCGCCGGGACACCGCACGGTCCCCGCCGCCTCCCCGGGCTGAGGCCGAGGCGGCTGCGGCCCCGCGGGCTCCCGGGGGCGGGGAGCACCGCCCCCCGGGGCAGGGCCTCCCGCGGCGGGCGGGGCTGCCGGCGGCGGCGGGTGCCTGAGGCGGAGCGGAGCCGCCCGGCTCTCCGGTGAGTCAGGGCCGCCCCGCGGGGTTGGATCGAGCGAAACTCGACGAAACCCAGCCCGAACGTAACCCGCGAACAACAGCGGAAACCACCCGTGAGAGAGCGGCTCTGGAGCCTGGGTTTGCCTGGTTCGGAGAAAAGGAGGCTGAGGGGCGACCTCGGTGCTCTCCACAGCTTCCTGAGGCGGGGAAGTGGAGATGGAGGGGCTGAGCTCTTCTCCCTGGCATCCAGGGATGGGATGTGTGGGAATGGCTCAGAGCTGCACCAGGGGAGGGTTAGACTGGACTTTAGGAAGCATTTCCTCACCGAGAGGGTGATCAAACCCTGGAACAGGCTTCCTAGAGAGGCGGTCGATGCCCTAAGTCTGTGAGTGTTTAAGAGGGATTTGGACAATGCCCTTAACAACATGCTTTAACATTTGGTCAGCCCTGAATTGGTCATGCAGTTGGACTAGGTCACTTCTAACTGAAATAGTTCTATTCTAAAACCAAGCGCAATAAAGATAAGTCAATTGGGAGTGAATGGAGGGTGTTTTCTCAGGCTGGGGCGGGGTGGAGGGATGCACAGGCCCACGGGCAACAAGTGCAGGCACCCCTGGGGCATCAGCTGTATTCGAGGATTTGCAACCAGCTGGCGTATTAGAAATGACAAAGATCCGTTCTCGCTTAGCTTTAGAAAGGGATTGAGTCATCTGCCAGACTGGTCTCTGAGTCAGCTGCCCTGGTTGGCTCCAAGTTAGCAAACTGCAGTTCTCTAGTAGCCAGTTTGGGCTAAAAATAAAATGAAGGAAGGCTGAGCTGTATTCATGGAGCTAAAAAATTGCTGATTGTCCATAAAACACAAAAAAAAAACCCCATGTGCAGGAACTTAGGAAATTGCAAACCATAAGGAAATAGAAAGGAGGTGGAATCCAGATGGTACCATGCTGAAATCAGTGGAAGCAGTAAACAGAATGCAAAACAGAGCTGCAATTGAAAATGTGGCTTTCAGATGCCCTGGAGTAATTGCCTCCCTTTTTAAGCACAGATGATGACTTGGCCAGTAAATGGGGCAGTGGATTTGGGCTGTGGAAATTCAGGGGTGGCCGCTGGCCAAGCTGCACAGTTGTCTGAACTTGGTCTGGATGTTTATCCTATCGTGTGTGTTTCAAATTCTCAGCTATAAAATGGTAATTTCACATTGCTATGTGTAAAAATAAATTCTACTTTTGAGAAAATTACACCTTCAGGTGGAGAAGAACAGGTAGTAAGGTGGGAAAGGCTATAGATTTATTCATAGTTCTGCTGGATTTCTTACTAGAGTCTGGAAAAAGTCAGCTAGGGAGTTTGTGTTTCATTCCCATAAAGTTTTCCAAAATTCTTACATTAAAGGTGGTATACAAATGCGAAATACGAAATATGTCTGAAAGCAATACTGCACAAGAAGAGTGTGGTAGCATTTCATAGATTTTCATATCCATTTATTGTGTTGTTTTTTTTTTTTTTTTTCTCTCCATGCTGTTCTCTTTATGCATATATGTATTGTCAGGAACCCTTGTGTCAGACCCTTTGCTTGGCACGTGATTAAAAGTGTCTCTACTCTTTGCAGATGTCACCAACAGAAATACTAGAAAACTGGACAGATGCAGAATCACAAGGAAGAAGAGGAAGGAAATGCCCACCAGTTTGTAAAGTGGACAAGGTGAAAACTCAACAAGAGCAGAGTGCGTAAAACTGGCATCTTGCCCTAATACCAGAATGACTCGTATTGGTTTAGGAAGAGTTAAAACCCAAGATATTTTATCTAGTGTATATGCCAAAATGAAAAGCAGCAGCAAAAACCTGCCCAAAACCTTCCAGCAGAATGTCAAAATCCAGAAAAATGAGGCTAGGAGCAGAGATGGTGGATTAAGAGCTCACATCAATGGGCTTCTGTAGAGAAATCTTCCTACTTTCTGCATCTTGGGAATGGAAGTAAATGGATTATGAACTTCAGCAGTAGCTAAAATACATACCACAGTGAGATCCTTGAGCTACAGAAGGGTACACTGGGAGAACTGAAAGCAGATATCCCTGGTGTCTCTAATCGAGTTTATTTAAACACATTGAAGGCATTGTTCCTGACAGGAGCCCAAGACAGTGCTGAACTCCTTAATATTTGCACTATATTGTGTGAAAGAAACAGGGCCGGTTTTTAAATCAGGAAAAGGAATATTTTTAATCACACAACTGAAATAGCTCAACTTTGGCAATTATTTGTAAGATTTCTACAGAGAATTTGTAAGACTTCTACAGAGAAGCCCCAAAGGCTTTTTTTTTTTTTTTAAAAAAAAAAAAAGTTTTAAGGCTAATGTTGCAGAATGACTGAACTCTACCTTTTATAAAAAATTATTATTGCTAATTCTCCAAGAAATAGCTACCTGGAATAGGCTTAAAGTTAAAAATACCATCAATTTGCTAAAAAAAAAAAAAAAAAAAGGAAGTAAAAACCAAAATAATTACAAGGATAGGGTAACTATCCCAAGCCAAACATACATCCAGAAAATTAGTGGTCAGCTGACCCTCTAAAGCATTCCAGACATGTTGATTTACGGGCATCCAGTCAAAATACAAAACATGTCTGAGGCTGCTGTTACCCTGGCAGAGGACAACTGCTTGCAACGGTGTCCTCAGCTTTCCACCCGCGATGCTCCTGAGCAAGCTACTATAGCCCTGGTGTGCTGGTGGCACATCTCCGTCAGATCAGTGCACATCCTCCTTTCTTCTGGTGGATATTTCTTTACAAATACGTAGTAAATGCTAATACAGCCAAAGACCATAATTTCTGTGACAACATCATTTAATCCTAGTAGTTGTGACAGCTGTTTTCTGAGTGGCTCAGCCACCCAAGATGGAATGGCAAGGAGACTGAAGGTACCTTAGCCATTCCTGCTCAGGAACTCTGACTCTGTCCACTACTGGTGCTATGTCGCTGCCATAATTAACACACATTCAAGTTGTAGATGACATGAAGCCTATTTTAAAGACCCTGTAGTGAGTGAAACTGTTGTCATCAGAAGAGAGAATCAAGTGCGTGTCCACACATCCTTTTAACCAGTGGAAATCATGGAGCGGAGAAAAGGACAGAGCAGAACTGATCTCAGGAGGAGTAGAGCTGGACTCGGGAGCTCAAGAAAAGAAAAGTGAAAAGACCTTGTAGTTTTCCATTATAATCAGGCTGTAAAGGCTTTCCAGTATTGTCCATTTCAAGGCAGATGGGAGAACTTCGCATTCTGGGAAAAGGTTAATCCTTGTAGCTATGAACTAAACATCAGAAACAGTTGAAAAAGCATCGCTTTTGGATATTTTTAATAGTAAACTCTGTACTAACACAACTGCTGAGGCAAGGATTATACAGTGTCTTTAAAGTCAGTAAAATACCATATGTACATGCATATTTAAGTAACTTCTGTTTTTAACATGTTGCGTAGCTCAGGATGCAACTATTCCTTATAACTTAAAAAAACCCAGTAATTTAGAAACATGATTTGCATAGTAATTTTGGAAATGAAGTATGGGGAGAAGCATGGATTAAGTAGAAAAAGGGAGAAGAGTGAATCACACGGGAGGTTGAAAACACAGGAAATTAAGACATTTAAGAACTCACTCTCAACTGCGTTAAGTCCTCTTTACGTGGGGTAAAGAGTTGACCTCACACACTGCTTGCTGATGATGGTGGAGTTTCTTGGCATGAACGTGTGAGAGAGAGAACAGATACTGTTAACAGATACTGTGGACTGTATTTTTCTATGCACCACCTGGGTAGATACAGAATATATTTTCCCAGACGGCAAAACTGGTCTTGCTGCCACCTATCTCATCTCATAGCTGTGTGTTCCCACGTCTACTCTGCAGCTTATTGCTCCTTCAGTTGTCAGTGCCACTGTAATTCAGACTATACACTAAATGGAAAAAAAATTAAAGAGATAATGTAGCTTATTATTAAATTTCATTATTTGGCAATCCAGTGTACAGCACAGCTCCACAAGACTGATACAGATGAGGAAGCAGAATTGAGAAAAGTGACATCAGACTACAAAATACAGAATTGTAGGCTCAGAATACCAGGTTGGAAGGGGCCTCAAGGATCATCTGGTCCAACCTTTCTTGGCAAGAGAGAAACGTTGAGAAAATACTTTCAGCTGCTTCAAGATACTTGCCTCTGTCATCAAGCTTCTAGGTCATTATCTTCATGGAAAAGTACACAAAATGTGTACCAGTTCAACAAAAAAGTTATTTTTTTCCTCCAAGCATTTTGTTTTCACAGTAGATGGTAAAGTAGTTACAGTCGGTACATTTCATCGCGGTTAATGATGTTGATGGAAATGCAGATGTTCGCAGTTCAGCATCTTTGAAACAGATGACTAGTCATTCACTTACTTCTGCCTTCCATTTTTAAACAGGAGTTCTGCTATTTAGACATCCACTGTCCTTTCAACTGTAACATGAACCAGTCCAAATGCTGAGATTATTTTATTAACTTCTGCTTTTCAGTATTTGCAACACTAAATAGTTTAACTAAACAAATCTTGCAAAAGCAGTTGAACGGTACGTACAGGACAGGCTTGCATTTGTTTAATTAGACTCACTTACAAACTGGTGTGGCATTTGTATTGCAGACAGAGCCAAAAGTCTTATTTTTGGAATAGCATTCACATGCAAAGAGTCCCCAGGAAACCGTGAGCAGTGAAGGGAGGCACAGCTGTCCCACCTAGGCAAACCCAGCAGGAGCAACCCAGTCTAAGGCTCCTTCCTGGAGAGGTTTTCTTGTTGTGATGGAACAGTCTTATTCATATAATGAATATATTCTGCTCACACACTGTTCTGGTGACAGAGAACACTGAAATGTCAAGATGCGCTTTCAGAGAAGGAGAGATTGAACTGTCAAGTGCTTAAAAGAGAGGCAATTCCTACAGTGAAAGGTAATATCTTTTATTAGACCAGATGGTGCAGTGGTGAAGAACAGTCTGGCTTTCAGAAAGACAAGAAGCCCTTCATCTTATTGAGGTTGATGGCCCAATTCGTGGAGCCTGAATTCCATCCAAGGCCACAGTTCCACGAGATGAGAAACTGGGTCCTAGAGCACAAAGCACTGGATCAAAACCACTGCAGTTACTTGGCACAAAGTAGTACAAACTTGTAATGCCAGCTGAAGCATAATATATATTTTGCAGAGAGCATTTTGTCCAAGCAGATTTTATGGTGGATCAGGTATCATCTGCCAGCCACCCAGGACCACAACACTAGTGTAAACACCATTTCCTATGCTCTAACATGACAGAAGTGGTATTCTGTGCTCGCACTTCACATGGATGAAATTTATACTCTTAGGTGATGCTGTAGCACAAATCCGGTACCAATGAATGAGAAAACACACTCCAAACCAAAAGTGCTTGTTTTCAATCACCTGGAATTTATGAAAGGTTTTCCATTCTAAACATAGATAAAACGGGCACACACACTCTGGAATCCTTTGATACTTCTCAGTGAAGTGCTGGTTAAAAAATAATAATCTGTCAGTATTATACTGATTCTTTGTAGTTCCAACTCAAAATGGAAAAACCACCTTCGGAAAATCATTGACTTTAGTAATGATGGAGAAAGCTGGTCTTTGGCATGAAACAAAAGAAACACTTTTAGTGAAATTCATGTCTGATACTGATACTTTCCTACATGGGAAAAATTATCAGAACATCCAAACTGGCCTGTTAGTTCAAATACAGAGGGGAAAATGCAGTAGAATAGTGTTATTAGCGTTGTTACAGAGCTAACTTCCCTCCACATAGACACAGTCATGAGATCTAGGCTAATGAATGTGCTCCTGTCTGCCTGGAATGACAATGAAATGCTGCTGGAGGAGAAAAAGAAAAAAAAATCCCAAATTATCAAGGAATTCAGAATTCCTGCAGTTAAGGTTTTTCAGCCTTACTTCCACTCCAGGCTGTATTTTTACCAGTGGGAGAGGGGTAGAATTTGCTAGCTCCCGTCACAGGAAAAACTGCTCCACCCACATGGTTTCAATCACGGGGATTCATTAATAATTGGTCATTGTTTTATTAATGTCACATAATCGCGTGACGATCAGTGCGCTACAGGTGCGGGATCAGTAGCAGCAATACAACAGATAACCCAGAAGGCGAACAAACACCTAGAGGTGCCTGAACACCCTTCTATGAATAATCCCCCAAATTCCAACCCCCTCCCACACGCACAGGCACCCTCAACTCATGCCCCCCATGCCGATGGGGTGACGTCTTGTGCTGTCAGGCTGTGCTTCTCTTCCCCCTCACCATGGATTTGTATGCTTTGTTTAGACGTCTTTTGAAGCTGACATTTTTTTTTTTTTTTTTCCCCCCAGAAGCCTGTTGGTAATTTCCTGGTTACTGTTTAATCCAGTTGATGGCCATCTCTTAAGCAAACGTCATTATTGTTATTTTCCTCTTTAGCGTGACCCGCTTTGGGGCAAACGCCCTTGCGGGCAGTTTTGGGGAGTCTGTTCACTCACACTTTTCCCGCCCGCATCCTGTCACATCAGCGGCTCTTACCCACCCCACAGCACCGAGGTGGGGTCCGTGTGCACTGACCCTGTCTCCCAGGTGAAGAGCCAGACGTTTCACCCAACACCTTCATCCCCGCCGGTCATCCTCAGCCAGGATCAGCTCATGCACATCTAGGCTGCGATTCAGCTCCTCCTAAGGGGAAACAGCTAAGAGGGATCAGAAACTCGCACTGTAGGCATCTAAATTAGGGTCCCAGCTCCAGCCTTTAAAGAATGTATGCTTTGTTTAAAACATTTTACTAAATGGGAAAGTAGAAATGAAGCTGGCTTGACTTGTCACGCATGGATAAAGCTAATTGCAAGAAGCGTGTAAGCTGCAGGCTTTATGCTGTCCCTCCCTTACCAAGATACATCATGAGAATTTCCCTTCCTGAAGTCACTTACGTGGTGACCTAACGTCACCAAATTTAGTTACAACTCTGATTTCCTCCCACTCTTCTCTATGTGGCTCAAGGACTTCTGTAACAGCAATGTGAGGGATTTGGGGTTTGGCCTTAAAGCGCCCTGCACATGGTTGAGCCTGCGCCAGAGGTTTCTAAGCCAGCATTTGTTCGCACGCTATTGTGGCTCCCGTCATTTCCTTGCAACGCGTAGAGCGTCAGACCCTGCTTTCACATTTGGCGGTAGCGCCGCCTAAGCTGCTTTACCAGCTCCAGTCTCGCCTCCCCGTTCATGACGACTTCTTCCCATCGCCTCCCAGAACCACCCTGGCAGCAGCTTGCGCAGCGAGGTGGTGAACCAAGTGGTGGGATGGGGGCAGCTTGGAATAATTCAGAAAAAAAAGAGGTTGTTTTCCAGCCAGGACGGTTCACCGTGAGGCTGCAGACACACACCTGAATTTGCCTCATGAGAATTTGCAAGAGGAATGGGAGCTCCGTAAGACAC